AATATAATAGTATTACTATACCATAACTATACTATAACAAAAACATTAAAGGGAAACACATGGGCCACTCGTGTTATTCTTTTGTAATGGTGATGTTAAGTTCTTTAACAACATTTAGTTTGTCCCGTTGAAATTTAAGTCTTTCGTTTGTAATTTTTGTCCGTGCAGTTGTATAAAGAACATTTAGGTCATATTCTTCCATAAAATCAAGGATTTCTTTTTTACCCTAAAAAATAAATAAATAAGCATAAGTTATTTACATATAAAATGTTATTAAGAGAAAACGGAACATACTTGACATTTTGTTTTCAATAAAGTATTTTTGAAACTCCAAAATGAGCTTTTCATCGTTATTTGACCAAGTATAATATGCTTGTTTTTCTAAAAATGATTTTTCTTTGAATTAATGTTTTTAAAGTTGAAATAAGAAAAATAAAAATAAAAACTATATAGTTTAAAATTTTATTTATTTATTAGTTTATTGATAAAACATTATGAGGTTTAAAATTATTTTAATTAAAAAGAATAACTTAATAAATCTTTGCATTTTTGAAAAAACGTTTTTACAAAAATGTTTAAGATTTACGAAAGTATTAAATTGTTAACATGAAAAATTTCATACTAACCATTTATTAAGTCTAGTATCAATACAAATTAAAGTATACCTGGTAAGAGTTCAGCAATTTGTCTTTTTCTTTTTGTAACATTTTCTAAATGTTTAAATTGATAATGTTTTATACAAAAATAATATATAAATAAAGATTTACTTTGTTATAAGTTATCATTTAAAGCAACTATTTTTATGTATAAAAGGAGGTAAAATAACAAAGCTAAAAAAACTAAACTAAAAAAAAGGTAAATAAGACTGTTTAAAATACATTACTGATGAAATACATACCATCTTTTTCCTCATTAGAATATTTAGTTTGTTTTGAACAACTTGGACCTTCGTTTTTAAAAACAAAGTGTTAAATTTGTATAAGTTATTTTATTCGAACTACAATTTATATAAAATGATTTGATAAACTAAAAATTGAAAACATTACATAGTTTTTTTAACTGTAAAAAGAGCAAACCTACTATCTTTATTTTCTTCTGAAGTATTTGTTATGGCTGTAAAACTAGCATCTTCATTATGTTAAAAAAAAAATGGAACAAAAATGAATTCTTTCATTCATCTATGCACAATATTATTTAACTTTCATTTAAGTAATAATGAAGAAAAACATATATATTAAATAAAAGAATTTTTATTTTTTCTTAAACTAGAATACTTTTTTTTGGCAGAAAACAATTATAAATTAATGAATAGTATATTTTTTATTATGAATAGTCAATTTTATAAAATATCAAATTTAAATTTCAACTCTTAAATTTCAAGTTAAGCAAACAAACTGTTAATTGTAGAAAATGCACAAAGTCAAAAAATATGTACTTACCAAATGCCTATTATTTTTTGCCTTCAAATGATCAGGTTTTATTAAGGGTAGTTTAGAAGCAACGCCATGAATTGCCTTCCAACCAGAAGTGCGCCTATCAGAACTTCTTGTATTTGCAAATAAAAATATATTTTCTTTTGGAATGCCTACATGCTCTCTCATAATTGAATTAGAAAGGATATTTAAGCCAGGAAGCGTGTCAGGTCGAAAAAAACGGTGACGTTATAAGCCCTACCCAGCCATAAAAGCAACTTTAACAGACTTTATCAAAACTTTTGATAGTCATTTAGTTCTATAAGTCGTTGTTTATCAATGGTTTTATCATTAACTACTTCATAATACTGATACAGTTGAAGCCTTGCTGGTTCACCACCTGAAAATAAAATTTAAAAATTAAAACATATTACTAAGAACTCATGGTTCATGTATTTAAAACAACGTAAAAAATAAAATTAAAGATTTTAAAATGTTTACGTAACTTATAGAATAGATATATAGCCTATATATATTATTGTCTTATAGAAATCAAGATGCTTTAAAAAATTAACGTAATAGTAACTTAATAGTATCAATGATAATAATAATAATAATAATAATAATAATAATAATAATAATAATAATAATAAAAATAATAATAATAGCAATAATAGCAATATAAATAGTAATAATAATAATAATAATAGCAATAATAGCAATATAAATAATAATAATAATAATAATAATAATAATAATAATAATAATAGCAATAATAACAATAATAATAATATTAATAATAATAATAAATAAATCTTAAGCAGCTTCAGTAAAAATATATATCAAAGATACTAAATACCTCTTCTGGCATGAAATAATGTTATTCTGGCACAAACGATATCTCTCAACTCAATGAAATTTTCTGAATCAAATAAATGAGACGGAATTTTTGTGAAACATCCTAATTTTAATATAATATAATCATTAACCATTTTAACATCTTCTTTTTCGGGAAGATTCTCTAGTTTACACGATTTCATTTGTTTGTTTTTGGTCAAGCAATAAGCAGCATTACCAAATATATTACTATAGATTATCCTGGCCATTTTATAAAAATCCGGAAACTTTTTTTCCTTAAATATCCGGAAAAATTCGGAAAATTTTTTTGTAATATCCGGAAAAAATCCGGAATTTACAATCGGAATTTAGATGTTAACAAGGAGGGAGGGGGGCGTGCTTTCGTCCATTCTTTTATATTACTATAATATTACGCCAGTTTAAGAGTATCCTTATTCACCCTATATATGAATAAAAAACTACATAATTTTTTCATTAAAAAAAGAATAATAATAATGATAAAATTTTAACAATAATAATAAGAAGATTAAGTCAAAGAAGAAGTAGAAAACTATATTTAAAAACTGTTAAACAATGCGGAAACTTTTTTAGACATGCACTTATACATTTAAATACATAATGGATAATGAAATATTGCTTCAATTCACCAAAGATATACAAACAGATAAACGTTTAACGCGTTGTTAGAGATCAGAGGCGCCACCATAACTGAAATCCCATAGGTGTTTTTGAGCGTTTTGGTTTTTTTGTAGTAATTTTGCAAAATAAACTGAAATAAATCCGAGACTTTTGCTTGCCAACTTCTTTCAGTAAATATTTTATTACCAGTAAAACACAAACTTTTGGAAAATATAAATGAATTTTATTTTAACTATTTTCGGAGCATACTTCAATCGCAGTAAATAATAAACACCAGACTTCTAAAATATTAATGATAATAATAAACACCAATAATAAACACTAATGATAATAATAAACACCAGACTTCTAAAATACAAAAAATTAGAAATCTTTAGTAATAAATATGTTAAAAAAGAAAATAAATAAATAAAAGTAAAAAGATATTAAATTATTTTTCTGTAATCAGTTAGTTTTCTACAATTAGTTCTTCCACTCAGAGTTTAAAATGTTTTAAACTTAAATCAACACAATGTCTTCTTTTATAAAAAAATCTCCATGTTCGTTAACTAAAAAAGTTTAAACGTTCGTTAGATATAGTTTAAATTTTAAGTTTATTTTAACTATGATAAACAAAAGGTGAGGCATTATTAATGATTCACGTGATCATTCATGTGATTCAAAGTTTAAAAGATTTAACAAAATGATTTTTTTTAAATCGTTTAAATTTAAAAAAAAAAACATATTTTTAAATCTTTTAAAAAAAATGATTTTTTTTCAGAAAATATAATTAATTTTAACAGGAGCTTTTTAAATTGAAAAGAAAACATGCCTCAAAATGCGATGTTTTTAAAAACCTAGTAATGGCATTACTAGGTTTTTAAAAACATCGCATTAAAAGCAATTTGATTCACTTGACCTTTATTCAAAGTACATTTTTCAGTCCAACATAGTAACTACCATAATATCTATAAATGATCACTAAAAAAGGTTTACTCTAATACATGGGGTGACTTTACCCGGGCCAAAATCACACTATGTAGTGGGCCAAAGACAACTTATTTTTTTTTAACCTCAATTACAAAAAAGTAATAAACTGTTAAGCTTTCAAAACAAGATAGAATCAAAAACTAATGGTTTTTGAATTGAAAAGAAAACGTGCCTCAAAATGCAATGTTTTTAAAAACCTAGTAATGGCATTCAAAAGCAATTTGATTCACTTGACCTTTAGTCAAAGTACATATGTATAGATTTCTTTAAAATAATTACATGGAATAAAATCCTTATAGTTTAGAATATAGTTTTATTATATAACACTTATTTGTATGAAATAACTTATTACTAACAAAGTAATTAATCTTAGTCAGTGATAATAAGATTTTTTTATAAGTTTTTTTCACCCTTTACGAAAACAAGTTGTACCGCACGACCATAATGTTACACCACGGTATTATAGTAACTGTAAGATTAATAGAAGTTTCTACTAGTTGAAGGTCATACCAAATTTCTTATTCTTAGATCGAACTATTTAACTGCTCTCTAGAAATAGATTTTACTAATCTCAAAAGAGTTTAAATTTAACGATATTTCTCATATTTGACGAAAATTAAAAACTGATTTCTCTCATAGCTTTTGTAACAGAATTTTTATTTACGAGTACCGTTTATTCTACCATCGTCATAACTTTTTAAATACCATCGTCAAAACTTGTTAAAGTCTCCAATTAATAAGAAATTATGCGAAAAAATGATACTTTCAAGAAGTGTGTGCGAAAAGAGACTTGCAATGGTACGACTTGACAGAAAACGAAATAATGATGCAGTAAATTTTGAACCACCGACAAACAAACTGAAAAAAGTTTCAGTCCATAAGCGAAGTGATTTACTTAAAAAAAAAGTTTTTAACAATAAAAAAAGAAATCTCTTTGCTAATAGCTAAAAGAGCTACCGTAAGATTGGGTGGCTTTGGCCCATTTTGTATCTTAATGTCTATTGCATGAAAGCCACAAAAGTTATTTCCTCAAACACAAAGTACTTTTAGAAGTACATAGAAAGGACAGTTAGAACTATCTGTCTCCCATTTGAAAATTATTTACCTGAAGTATCTTTTGGGTGGTTTGAATGGTGGGCCAAAGTCGCCCGATGTGTTAGGGTGACTTTGGCCCAACCCTGTAAAAAGGAACTAAAGGAAGCAAAACAACAATAAAAACAGCAATATTTGAGCAAAGAAAATTAATTTACAAAAATAAAGTGACAAAAAAAGATTTAGTAACAAAGTTCTTGTGTACAGTAAATAAAATATAGATACAAACTAAACAAGTATAGGTACCAAGTAAACTAAGCAGTTTAGGTATAAAGTAAACAAAAATGACAAAACAATGTTTTAAAAAATTTAGTGAAAAAGTTCTGGAACTGAATAAATCCCTCTTTTTGAAATTTTCTTTGGCTCCTCAATAAAATTGACTATTTCAGACTGGGGAAAAAAAAGTTGCTCTGCTGGTAGTGACCATTTCCAGTTAAGTCCATTTTTTTTCACAATAGTAATTTCTGCTCCATTTTTTCTTAATTTTTTCAACTGCAGAAAAAAAAAAATTCGAAAGTTTTTTTAAAATTTGTCAGTAGTTTTATTAAATAATATTAGTTATTAAATTAATTAGTTATAAAGTTTACTAATTAATTAGCTAAATATAAATAACTCAAAATAAATAAACAAACCTGTCCAGAATTTAACTCTCCATTGCATTTAACAGTTACATAACAATTCTCTACAAGATTTAATAATTTCTCCTTTTTACAAACATTTTTTGTTTTATCAATATTTTGAAAGTTCTTTTTGCCAAATGCTGAATGATCTAAAGATTCTGTATGACTTTCTACAACTAAACTTACATCTGCAAAAATTAGATTAGAACTCTCAGTAGTTCCAGTATTTGTACTTGGGCCAGCAAAATCAATGTTGTTGGTCTCAGTTGTATTTATAATACTGATAGGTGTATCTACATTATTTGAATTTAATCTATTATTTTCATTTATTACACACAATGATATATCTGTTGAACATAAGCTTTTACATGGGACAGCACATACTTTACGTCGCTTTGGTTTTTTAGAACCATCTGAGGGATCATCCAGTGACTTACATAAGTGATCTAAAAATGATTGGCTTACTAAATCAGTAGTTGAGTCTAAACCTGAAAGCACTTGAGACTTGTCTAATGGAAAAATTCCAGTTTTGCAAAAACCAGCTCTAAGGTTATCATTCCCATGTTCATTAAAGTTGGTAATTAAACGGTGTAAAAGTCTAGGAAATTCATCTTTGGGAAGAGAAGCAACTCTCCTTCCTTTTCCTTTCTTCTTCCATTCACATAATATAATAGATAGCCTTTTTTTTTTTAACCTCAATTACAAAAAAGTAATAAACTGTTAAGCTTTCAAAACAAGATAGAATCAAAAACTAATGGTTTAAAATTAATTCAGTGTATATTCCAATAAAAAACCTTCTACAGGTACTGCTATTGATGTAAAAGTTTACACACCTAAAAAAATTCGGATTTTAGGTGCTTCTTCTAAAGTGCAATTTACAATAATATCACAAATACTCGAGTTAAGTAAACTAAGTTAGACTAAATAAATAATAAATTTTCCAATTTGCTAATAAACATCATCCGGCATACCTTAAGGTATCGATTTTAAACCATTTTTAAACAAAAATTTCGCTTGGGCTAAAGTCATCCCGTAGGGCCAAAGCCACCCAATCAATCTTACGGTATTTAAAAAATGTAAATTTAAAATATTTTTAAAAAAGAGAAGAGTTTGACACGCATCGCTAATTTTATTTTAAAAGTAGGAGATCATTCGCTCTTTTGCGCTGGGATTTGTCTTAAACTTTAATTAAAATGCTTATTAATTTTTGGTGTACTCTGCGAGGGAAATCTTTTAATCTTTTTGGCTTTGTTTGTTAACTAAATATAGCGTTCCGTAGTTTATGGACAACAAATTTACTGTTTATATATACTTGTTACTGTTTCATTTGATGACAGTAATAAACAGAAAAAAATTTATAAATTGTATTTTCGAAAATTATTTAATTATCCGGAAAATATAAAAAATTTAAAAAATATCCGGAATTCCGGAAATATCCGGAAAAAGATAAATCCTGTATATTACTTTCGGATAGTCTAAAAACACAGCTAAATTTATCAATTTCTGCTGCATCATTGTCTTTTTCATTTTGTAAATAAATACTTTTGATTATTTCTATTTTAATTTTTAATTAAATAAAATAAGTTTTGTTTTAAGCCTGCTTTTATACCATTATTTTCTTAACTTGTATAAATTTTGATTGATTCTTGAAGTCATATAAATGACCCAGTTGCCTCATCGAATTTCTTACATAATCTCTAGAAACAACAAACTTGTCAATTTTGTGTTTTTTATTGTTGTGTAACGATAATCCAATCCCAAGAATCATTTAGTCATTCAAACAAATATCTGTAATACGATCAGCTCGAAGGTGTGCTAATATATCTTTCTTAAAACTCTCGTCCAACTTAACTTCTGTTGGCAAGCGGAGAGTAACCGGAACTGTTTTTTTTGTCAGATTCTTAAACGCA